ATACTACTACACTATATTACTTAGCGGCTATCTTGTTGATAATATGATGGTGTTGTTGCGTATTAACCACCCCCAAATGCATTAGTGTAGGAATTCGGCATAAACGTATGAATACATATTGTCCTTAATGTTTTATGCAACCATTGAAGCCCATGCTATAATTACTTGATACATTTTACTTTTTTAGTTTAAATGCATATTGTCCTTAACAATAAAGTAAAAATGATAACTTTCACTAAAATTTGAAGTTGCATGTAGAGGTACAAAGGCTGGGTTCAATTAAAATTTCTCAATTAGCTATATACGAACTTGGAGAGAGCTAATTTTTTATGCTCTCGCACCCAAAGATTTACATGTAATTTCGTCTAAACGGCTCATTATGAGGATGAACTAGTTACCAAAATCTTTGATTGGTTTAACACGTATGGATGACTAAATGATCCGAATTGAATGATTTTTTTGCAGAAATGATCTTTAGATGATGATAAAGAGAATATATGATGTTTAGACAGTAAATGTTTGTTAATCGTAAGTGGGTGACAATTAAGTCTCCCCATAGGGGACACAAAGCATTATCCAACCCAGAATTTACCAAGATTGTCCGCCCAAGACCCATGTCAGTGAAAAGGTAACCTCATGTGTGACATCCCACATTGCCCAGGGGAGTGATCCTTATATGTATATTCTCATCCCTACCTAACATGAGGTCTTTTGGGAGCTCACTGGCTTCGGGTTCCGTAGGAACTCCGAAGTTAAGCAAGAAGGGGGCTAAAGCAATCCCATGGTGGGTGACCCACCGGGAAGTTGCTCGTGAGTTCCCAAAAACAAAACCGTGAGGGAATGGTAAGCCCAAAGCGGACAATATCGTGCTACGGTGGTGGAGCGGGCCCGGGAAGTGATCTGCCCCGAGCCGGGATGTGACAAATTAGTATCAGAGCCTAACCCTGGCCGCGTGTGTGCCGACGAGGACGTCGGGCCCCTAAGGGGGGTGGATTGTGACATCCCACATCGCCCATGGAAGTGATCCTTATATGTATATTCCCGTCCCTACCTAACACGAGGCCTTTTGGGAGCTCACTGGCTTCGGGTTCCGTAGGAACTCCGAAGTTAAGCAAGAAGGGGGCCTAGAGCAATCCCATGATGGGTGACCCACTGGGAAGTTGCTCGTGAGTTCCAAAAAACAAAACCGTGAGGGAATGGTAAGCCCAAAGCGGACAATATCGTGTTACGGTGGTGGAGCAAGCCCGGGAAGTGATCTGCCCTGGGCTGGGATGTGATATCGTGCCTGGTGCAAGCTAAAAATTAAAAAAAAATTAAGAGAAACTAACTGAAACAGGGTGAAATAAATTCCTCTTATAAATAAAAGCCATAATTCTTTACTAAGTTAAAACAAATAAAATCAAATTCCAACCTCACATTTAGGCCAATCTCATCCTTTTACCCTTTTGATTGTCTAGTTCGTAAACATACATAACAATAAAATGGTGAGCTTCAACTACTCAGTAGGGATCTAACCTCACCATAGTAAATTGACAATACTAAATTAAGTGTCGTGGAAACACATAATTCAACTATAAAATATAATCAGTCATGGAGATTAAAATGACAATGCGAGAATGCAATGCAGCTTAACGTTATTTACCAGACCCGTGAATCTATATAATAAAACATGTGGACTTGCACGTCTCATATCATGTATTTTACCTTTGCAATAGTGGTTTGAATATTTTATTATACAAACTAACTCCCATAACTCAGTCATCCCATTTTTTCCCGTTTGTTAGTCATCCTATTTAACTCCTTGTCGCCATACCTGAATTACCAGATAAAAACCCTGTGCAATTGGGCTGACATGATGCCTAGTACCAACTAAGAGTCAAACTCAACTACACAGAAGATTCTCTCCACTACCCTCATTTCCTTTCTCTATACCCAAGTTTCAACCTCAACTCTGAACATGAGTGGTGCATCAATATGTCATTTAATCTTTCACATATATCACAATGCTTTCCAACAATAATTCCACAATTGACAACAACTAACATTTCAATGAACCAAAGATGCACAATTTAACATTTAACCACAATCGACAACAAACAACATTGTAATGAACCAAAGATGCATAACAATAAGATCAAATATCACTTCATGAAATTTAATAAAGTCAATCTTTATAAAGGTATGCCTTATTTTCCCTACCTAGATTCCAAAACATTGCTCCAAGTTATTAACACAAGAATCCACCATCGTGGTCAATTCCTACAAGCAAATCACCAAATGCATAACAAGAACTCTAATCCTAATCAACATACTTAAACTTACTAATTCAACACAAACAGATTTCTATATCATTTTGGTTGATCTAGGATATCATGGTCATGGCAGGACTTTTGATTAAGTACAAGGGACAAGGATTGTCTGCTCTCCTACTTCCGGTGCCCTCCCGTACCCTCCTGTTTTGTATGATCACGGTTAAGTCACGTCAACATTTTATGTTGTTTTTTTTATACAGATAATAAGACAAAATAAATAGTAATATAAAATGTTGACGTAGCTTAACCGTGACCACACAAACAAGAGGGCACGGAAGAACACCGGAAGTGAGAGGATAGACAATCCTTGCCTAAGTACAAGTCTTGGTACATATAAAAGCTGGGTGATTGAGGGAAACAGCTTTACCCAACAGTCAGGTAAAACCTTTTACATGATTGATGAAATTAAGCATATTAAACCACATATACCTATATAATACAAAGCTTAATGAAAATAATCATAATATATAATGCGTAATTATTATAACTATTTTTTTTAAACACAGGTCTTTCACAAATAGTGAGAAGCAAGAGATTTTTCTTCAATACTACGTAGCATTGTATGATATAAGAAATAAATGTTTAAAATTAAAATTAAAAGATCTAAACAGTTGTAAAAATCAAATATAACAGCCAGCCAAAAGCAAGAGGCCGAAATCCTCATGTGCAAGCAAAAAGCGTGCTTGTTTTTTCTCTGGCAAGAAATGTATGAAGCTAGATATCACATAATTATGCAGGCTGTGAGCAGCATTTAGGTCGGTAAACTAAAGCACGTTTTACGCATGATGCTATAAACTTTTTATCATAAATAGCTAAATTTTAACTCCTAATTTTATAAATGTCTGTTTTTATGACAAAATTTCATATGTAACAAAAAACTGAGTTGAATGGAATTGTACATCCTCAAACGTTAAACTTAATTACACTTAGCAAAAACACATTCTGATCTTCTGTTCATGTTATTCAATGAGGGAGGGGCTACAGTGATGAGCGTCCTGGACAATCTGTGGACATGTTGTTCAAACTCGAAAGGTAAAGATCATTTACAATTTGAAATTAAATGAAGATGCTCTCTTTATTAACTAGTACTTTTTGTATGCCAACTACGAATCTCAAAATTTTCTTGTGGTGAACAAATTCGACTTACATTTCATAAAGTAGGCAACTTGTCGGTAGTTTGAATATTGTTCAATTTATTGGAAAAAATTCATTATTTATTTCTGAATGAAGCGTTATTGTGAAGAAAAAATGTATGCTCTAAGCTCTATGTCCATTTGCTTACAGACTTGGAGCCCTAATTTTATAAAAAAAACAATTCAAAGAGAGATTTGCTTATGAATTAACTAATGAAAATAGGTTGAAAACTTTAAGTTTTAACGATAAGGACAAAATAAAGGATAAAGTGAATAGTACCATGATTGACTTTTTAATGTAAAAATGTGATTTTTCGTTGAACTGAACAGTACCGAGAGCTTTTCATTAAAGTTTCCTTTGTTAAACCCAGAAACATGAGTGTTTTGATGAGTCAGTCAATCTTTAATTTGTATCATCAATCACTCCAGAAATAAAATTTTGGATTTATTTCACACGCCTTGAAAACAAGTGTGTTTTTGTTGGATTTATATAGAGTTTGCATTAAACAAAACAGGAAATAGAGAGAAGAAGATGGAAAACAAGTTTGTACTCAATTAGCTGACGGTTGAACACCCGCAACTGCTTCACGACATTTGCGAATTTCCATCACAGCATCACACTTTGAACAACGATGTACAAGAGATCTATTCAAGTGTTTTGGTTTATGTGTAAATAGGTTTTGGATTTTGAGGGCATTTAGGTCTATTCAAGTGAGTTTTCTGCTATATTTAAAATTTTTTATAAAAAATGACATTAACAGAATTAGATGCTAAACTTTAGCTATTAATGATAAAAACTCGTATAAAATAGTAAGAAATGAGAAATCGAATAGTATTTAGAACAAAATTGTTATATTAGACAACGAATGACAACCCATCAACACCTTAGGGTACCGCCGTCAAAGCTTGAGACTTCAAGGGGCTGACAAAACTCAAATGCATCTACTTCACTGACGATAATTTGGACATAGATTGACTGTTGGCCACTTTTAGCACGGAATACGGATAAGTTAAGCTGCTCAAATGCGATTGGAGTGGATTCAGGTATGTTTGGTCGCGCCTGATCTAATTTATGGCTAACATGGCTTACAAGAAAACGTAAAAAACAGCAAAAAATAGTGGGGGTTCGCAGCCGTTGCCGCCACCAGGGGTGATGGTGCAATGTAGAATTTCGTTTAGTTTAGAGCATCAATTAAAAAAAGAAAAGTTTTATTAGCACTCTAAAAATCTCATTTTACACTCCAAACTTTCTATATTGGAAAAGAAAAATACACTTGTGAGAAGTGTAAAATGAGATTTTTAAAATACCAATAACATTTCTCTATAAAAAATTGGTATAATTTCTTGATCTGTTTTACGCATATAAAATTCCCCGTTGGTTTAATTAGTAATTGAAGAAGAATTTTAATGTAATTTTGTTCAAGTTAGATTCTTATTTCTTTTGATACATGACATTCTCGTCTGCAATCCAATCCATAACATTGACACAATTCACGGATTATAATGGCAGATCTGTTTGAAAAATCCAAGATTGAAAGAGAGCAAAGCACGCGAGTGAATGTACCGATCGCACAACTTTCAATCACCAACGTTGAGTGAAACAAATTCGGTAAATGGTACAATCGTGATGGGTAACTCCTAGGATACATACTTCCAACACTGAGCCACTCAAACAACAAACCAACCTGCTACATCCTAATCGTCACCTTACAGAACTCAGATGAACAGAACAATGCGATTGAGCATGGCATGAATCTCTGATTCTCGCACTTCGGACTAAAAATACAACTATTGATTGCCCAACAGAGAATGGACAACCCGTAAATTTACTCAGACAAATGAAGTACTCTCCAAGTGTTTCAAGACAACTGGACTACCATCTCCCTGTCTCGACATCTGACATGGTTTACTCTATGTTGATTCTGACAACCCTTTTGGTCCTCCCATCGGCGGTAGTCTTTGTTGCGTTGTCTGATTTCATTCCTCTGCTGCTTTGCATGCGCTCAGAAGATGGAAGAAGCCCCACTCCCGAAAACACCTCTCTATTCTGCTCTCTGCTAGTGGAGGAACCTACATTGTAATGCCAATGTCATTCATTACTTGGCTAAGAAACTGAGTGGACCTTTTATTTAACCAGAAGTGATCAACTGAATTCTGAACACTAACATTTCCTATGATACCCAATGTACAAACTAACAAGGAAGGTAAGGAAGAAGATAAGGAAGTTCCGCTCGAAGCCTCCCAAAAGAGAGGAGGGAAGGGCAAAGTATGCATAGAGCAAACGCTCTAACAGTCCTTGTACAAACAGCTCATAGGTCTGACGCTTGGATATCTATCCCAAAATCTCATATGGCACTCTGGATTCCGTTGATAGAACATAACCACTTAATGGAAAACCTCAGGAGCTTCATTATTGCCAGTGCACTTTCACTGGTATTGTGGCACATACCATTCTCTTCCACCGGTTTCAACGCATGGAGCATGAGATAAGAGTTGATAACAATAAGGTCTGACTAACTGAAGATTAGGCCGATATTAAGAAATTAATAACAGAATTGACAGGGACATTTACCCAAGACTTTCCGCTTCAAAAAGCTAATTAGACCCCATCTAACCACAGATCGAAATTAAATAGGTGACAAAACAAACACAAGGGATAAATAAAGAAAGTTTGCGGCTGGAGGGGGGTGCTTACTGGTATTGCCGTGCATATCAAATTCATGTCTCCATCTGGGCAAGTGCCCTCCAACATTACCAGTCCATGCTTCTTCAAAACCAGGAAGCTCATCTGCAACAAAATGGCAACATCAGTTCTACTATTCGTACATCCAAAACACAATACGTATCAACCATATAAGGCTGCAAATACAAACCTTCATTTAAATTGTGTAAAGTTTGCAACATATCCACCTTCCCATCTGACTTGAGCTTCCTTGTAACAGAATGACCCTACATAAGCAATACAACCGTCCCAATTCCAATAATTACAGAGTTCATTGTTTATGATTTCGTGATGCTTACACAGAAGATGTGGGAAATAACAGCCACAAACTGATCTATGCAATACTAAAACAAAACATAGTTGGGTGCAGTTTCAAGAAACAAAATGGGTTGAAATGAATAATGCCGAATGATAGCATAAAATCCAGTTCCATTAAACTTGAGAACAAGGATAGTAACACAATAACAAATATTTAAGGTGACAATGTACATGAGAGCAATCTCTCAAGCAACACAATGAGCACACCCATGAAAGGGAGGGTAATTCAAGGGTAATGCACTGCCTACACTCACTCCATTTTGATCTAAATTAAACAGAAAAGGGTGACTTTGAGTGTTCAATACAAAAGGTCAGTCACCTTTTATATCAATTTCTTAATCGACTGCTCTTTCCAGAAAATGACTAATGCCTAAAACTACAAATTGTTGTTAAAGGTGTTATATCCTTTGTTCTTGCTACAGGCTATATTAACAGACAAAAGAAATTTTTACCTTGTCATAAAGTCCTCTCGAGATTCTATGTGTTGCTTGACCGGTTGTCTTATCTGCTTCTTTAGCCTCCTCAAGCACCAACTGATGTGCAATCACAAGTTCAGTTAAAGAAAGAATTATGCAAGTGACATATCAAATCCCAGAAACCATTACTTACGCCATCACTGCCCGCCCTTCTGGTTCTCGTAGAAGTGTAATATGCTCCATCTACACCACCATATGTAACTCTGCAAGTCTGAAAAGATAAACCACGGCCTTGGGACTGATTGCCCTCCACCTTATTGCGGTCATTTCTATATGTCAAATCCTTGCTTTTCCTCTCTTCTACATTCAACATGTCAACCATCAGCATCTTACACCAAATGTAAATTACAAGGTTGAGTATAAACCCTCAATAATTTCTAACAAAGATGCGAAAATTTCATTACCGTCCAAAACATCATCCGGATGCTCAACAGATGGTTCTTTACTCGAAACAGATTGCTTTCCACAGTTATCTCTCTCATCCCCAGTAACTATACCATCCCCTCCCTCATCATCAGAGTTCAGTTCTTCTACTGATATTTCATTGGCTCTACCAGTCTCCGGTGTATCACTAGAAACGGAACTTGGACCGAAAATACTAGACTCGAACATGCTACCAATCGGGCGATTAAAGAAGGGATCATCAAATGGATCTCTTCCACCAAAGAGGCTAGGGAACATACTTCTCCGGGACCCAAAGCCCCGAAAACTATCTAACAATCCGCGTGACTGAGAAACACCACCTTTACTGTCTCTTTCACTCTGCATTTTGTTTGTGTTTATCCCTCTGGAAACAGATAATCTCAGTATAGATTATTCTTCATATTACCACACGTCAAAAATTACGAATAAAAATGATCAAAAACTCAAACGGTTTAAGTTCAATTAGGTACGTTTCATTCCAAAGTCCAAAAAAAAATCTAAAGTTTTGAAACTATTGTATTTTATCTTCTTATATATTTAGTTTCTTTCATATCTTCCAAAATCGATTATCGACCAAAGATAATTGATTAAGAAACAATTATCAACACATCTTTGTGAGGAATTCCATATAATTAAAGAAAATCATAAAAGTAATCACACAGAAACTAATGAATTATCGAGACGTATATATTTATCATTATATTAACATGTAAGTGAACGATCATCCACAAACATTTTTCGTATAAAACCATATCCGAGATAGCTATTATAATTAAGTTGAATACTCGTGAAATTCGAATGAAAATTAAAACTGTCACAGGAAACGAGCTAAACGACTGGTTTAGGGGGCAGATTTTCACGGATATAGCAGAACATAAATGATTGTTCGCATTAGGGACAGCAGATTTTGTGGACAGTTAATCGAGCAGAGAAATCAGATATTCGTTATTCTGTTTGGCACCCGAGAAAATGAGAGAAGAAAGAAAGAGGGATGAAAAATCAAAAGAGCTTCGTACCTGTTAGAAGGAAATGAAACGAGGGTTTGAGAAATCGAGAGAGTGGAGGAGAAGAATATAACCAGAGAATTCCAGAACGGCCTAATTGCTTCGTTTCGTTTCGTTTGGTTGCCATTATATACTCGTTGCCTTTGAGAGGGAGCGCCGGGCCAGATATTTACACGTGTCCCCCTCCATTGGTCCACGACTTTCTGGAGGCAACGATTTGACTGCATCTACATGGCTTGGACACGTGTCACATAATCATAGGATGCAGGCAAAACAAATGTTCGAAAAACTTTGTGCTAGTTTACCGAATTACCCTTCTCCTCTACGACCAAACACGATTAGCTTGAAAATGTTGGTAAAATAATTGAAAACGTTTTTGTCATTTATTAAAAATGTTTTTGGGATTATTTTTTTTTTTAAATACAAGTGTATCACGAAAAAGCATTTAAGCGTATTTAGTCTTTCAAGTACTTTCGAACAAACTCATAGTTATGCCTGTCAGTTTACACTTAAGTTCAAATATATCTCTTCATAAGTTAGAATAGTTCCAGATATCATTTGGTTAGGAAAAAGGAAAAAACCAAAGGCAAATGTATAAGAGAAATTTTTTGATATTTTACTTTGACAAAATAAATATTACAGTTCTAAAAAAAAGTGAGGCGATAGGTGGGCGGAGCGCTAAGGCCTAGTGCCTAGGCAGCGAAACAGGGCATAGACGGGGGCTTGAGCGGGTTAGGCTAATTTAAGTAAATTTATTATATATGGTATAATAAGTGCCTACTTATACTTAAAATGCCTAATTAGATAAATGGTCCTCATAATGATAGAGTATTTGGAAAGCAAACTCGAATTTAAACCCTGATAATAAAGTCCAGTAGAATTTAAGCCCCAAAACAAAATTCCTATTAATTCTCCGTTAACTCCATTTGCCATGAATGAAAGCACATACAGTCAAGGTCAAGAGCCAGATAAGCATAATTGCGGACCTTGTTGGGAGCTGAGGTAGTTTCAAAGAAGATCAGGGCTAGCCCTGAGGGTAGCCCAAGTAGGCGCCTGCTTAGGACCCCCACTTCAGAAAGGCCTCCAAAAAAATTTTATATGTTGTAATTAACATATAAATATAAAAATAAAAAAATAAATAAAAAATAATTCATTTGTTAGTGCAATGGAAATGTTCGGTCTCATTTTTCTTTGGGATGTTGAGTTCGAAACACGAAGTTGCATTTTAGTCACTAAATTTTTCTAGCCCCACTTTGAATACTATCTAGGACCCTCAAATTCTCAGGGCTAGCCCTAAAGAAGACTAACATGCCACGCACTGCTGGCCTTTGATTGGTTGCGACCAGAAGGTGGAGGGAAGGATGAACCGTCTGCCGTTGTTGGAACTCTAGCTAGCACCTCCGTTAACTCCCACAGGAATTTGCAGCTGGTCGTAATACTTTCTAGCATTCTAGAAGTGACAAACCCTGAAGCGAATTCCCTTGGAAATACTATCAGAAATTTGATTTTGCGCTACAAATGATTGAATCCAAATTCTTTGACCACATGGACTATATTCTGAATACTCTATCACCATGAGGACCATTTATTCAATTAGGCCTACTTAAAAAACACTTAATTGTAGAGATACATAAATTGCAAAATAAAATGACATATAAATTATAAAGTATTAAAACATATTGAAAACATGTGGAACAATCATAAAATGAGTGTTCATCCTAGTATTCAACAAGTTTCTTACATTTTATTGACAAAATAAAATGAAAAATGCAAGTTACCAATTTTGTGTCTAAGTGAAAGTCGCAACCTAAACGGATGCTGGGGTAGGTTTAGGTGGGCTAGGTGGGCATCTAGACAGACTAGATGGACGCCTAAGCACGTCTAAACACATTTTCTTAATTTTCAAATGCCTAAGAACTAATCGGACCGATGACCGACTGCCTAGCGCATACGCAGCGCCTAGGCGAAAACTTTTAAAACATTGATAAATATAAAATATTCTACTCCGCATCCTAGTATATATCAAGATTTCCGGCCATTAAAGATTGGTCATTGAATCCTTGACCAAGAGTGTAACGCCAGAAATCTCAGTGTACATGATATCGGAGATCAATCATGTACAAGAGAAGAAAAAATTCAGCATGAAATTACATTATTCCTTGCAAGCATATTACATTTGATTGGCTTCTGTAATTTCAATGGATGGTACAACAAACCCAAGGACGAACATAATCAAATTACCACATCAAAGTTCCATTTCCCTTATGTTACAGTTCCCAGATTCCCAAATTACCACATATTTAACACACACAATAAACATCAGCCAGCCATATGCCATTCCCACTACACCGCAACACTGCAACCCATAAACCGCTCTCCCCGGCCACCCACCCCTTGATAACGGTCCTCTTTCTCTCTCTCTCACTGTTATGCTTACAAGAAGATGCCCGTGGGAATGAAAGTTGCGCCCATGTAAGCCGCGAGCCATTTGACTGAGTTATGGCTGCAAGGAAACTTCTTGTGGATGTTACTCCTTTACTCTTATCTTTGTACAAGGAAATTTCTGTATTGCTGACATGTCTTACATACGGTATTAGAACTCTTGGGAGTCAAACTCAGGATTAGACGGATACTCGAGACCCTGAAGCGCTGGTATCCGTCGTAAATCTTCATCTGAGTAAGCAGGCATGAACCAGTATCGTTTGTCTGTCCCAAACACCTGGTATGGAAATAGCAGAATTCCAGTCGTATGAGCACACACTGACAATTACTACGACTATTACAACCATGATCATATAGGTACCAGATTAAAGACAATTTTAGGTTAAACAGTATTGTTCATGAAAAAATATCCTGTCAGACGTTCAAATCCAGGCAAGATAGAACAGAAATCAGTTTAACCTGCCCATTGCTGGACTTCAACCTGCCCCATGTACTAACATAACAACAGTTTTGTAAAAGACCTTGATGACCCTTGGTTTAATCAGAAAGTAAAATAGTTAAAATGTAAGATTGTAGTGCATATGCCATGACTCAGTGCTACACCTCATTATTCATGATATAACCAAGGAAACTAGCATTATAATGTTCTTCTAAGAGTATAAATAATCTGCAAACTAAGGGAAAACTAATGAATTTACGCATTTAGCAGTCGGTTGCAGAGAATTGTGTTCTGAGGCTTCCATAAAATGCCAAATCATTCCGGACTCAGTGATTATTCTATATTATATATTATAGAACGTAAACTTTCGTTCCTCAGCAAATGTTAACTTCGGAATTTTAACTTGTGAGTTCAAAACCAACTAAAAACGCGGCATGTTGGTTAAATTTAAAAGATGCACTTAAGAAAACAAAGGAAGGACATTGATGTATCGCAAATTGTACCAACCTGTTCAAAATTCTTTTTTCGACCAAGGTCATAGCGCCATTTAAAGGAGGTTTTCTTTTCATATGCCTGATCACAGAGAATAATTTCATCAGCATGCAATTCCATACCACAAGACCAATGAAGTTATTTATATGTTTGTATGAAAAAGCCTAACCATGAGTTACTAATACAGTGTAACTAGATTTTCCACATTGCTGGTGGCCCAAACATTAAACCAAGGCGACATAATTTAAAGTTGACAGACGTCGATCTAGGGACCTCTAGTAAAATTTGACATTGAAATCAAGGAAAGCAGCATTCTCCTTAATACATGGAGCCTGAACTACATATCAAACGTCTAATCTTTCTATAAGAGCCTACCTCTTTGACATCATTAAGATATAAGCACAAGGAAATCCCCAGTTAAAAGGCAGAATGCAAAAACCAGACCTAGTGTTAGTGAACTGAAGCAAAATACATCACCTCAATGGTTGTGGTATTTGCAGCCACCAATGATATATGCATTATCAGAAAACCCAAAACACTTAATGCAAATGCAAGATTCAGGACTGCAAACAGAGCAGAAATGTTCATTAGTTAAGCAGATACCAACAGCCTTGAAGGTGAGAATACTAAGAAAATAGGTAAATTTAGATAATACCAAAAGCAAGAAAGGTAGTTGCAAGGGTGCTAGGTGTTCCAGGTACTTCTCCCTCGCTAAAGAATGATATCAAATGTGGCAGCAAGGATAATGTTACAACACTTGTCTCAAGAAATGTGTAAAACTGCATTCAAATTAACAAAAGCATGAAGTTAGTCTACAGGTAAAGTTTATTCAATGTGAAATCTTACTTAAAAAATTCAGAAATCCCATGAATAGATAGCTTTGCAAGATAAGGAAAATCACATAACATGCACAAGAACTAGTTTCTGACACAACAATCCATACAATTTACCATCTAGTTGATTAAATATTGACCCACAAACATGATTAAAACATACTTTCCAAGTTATCCAGGGAATTTCCCATTGTATAGCATATAATATGCAACTATTACCCATACCAACCAGACTGAAACAAAGAACTTACCATCAAAACAAAGAGTGACTACATTCTTTAAGAAGACAGTAAAAGTCTCTAGAATTCTTAAAACTCTTGCATAAATTACAAACTTTTATTATCGAAACAAAGAGTGACTGCATTCTCAAAAAACAAAGTGTGACTGCTTTCAGATTTTCTACCAATCTAAAGCTTTTCATTTAAAGTCGCTGGCCCTACGCTACAGATTTTTAAAAGCAATCAACTCGCATCAAATCAATGGGTTTTGATTAGAAATTTTAAATGATATAATTTCCATATTGATATAACATAAGTTAGTAAATTAGGATAATCATAATATTTTTCTGTGTGTATTTACCCAAAATCATAAAGAAATTTGGATTTAGTTGCAAGTCCCTGCCCATAGAAACAAAAATTAGTTCATCTGGTCAGATTTTCTTCTTTTATCAAATTTGTAACCATCAACTTAGCCTGCAGTCCAAGACCATTTTATTAATGCTAGGAAAAACTCACTACAGAAGCTCATATCTGATTTATATATATAACCCATTTACAAAATTATATACATCCCAAAAGGACCATGTTCCTAATTTATGAAATAATACCCACAAGGTTATACTTCTTATAAGCCAACAATCATTCCAAAAGTTAAATTATGGAGTTCCTTTTTAAGATTTGCTCTTCAAGGTGTGATGTGTGTGCTATGAGTTATCTACAAGAAGGAAAACACAGTTTACCCCTATGGTGGATTCAGAAAACCATAAGTCATGTTAACGTTCCATGAAATGCTGCACATCAGAGTGGTCACCCAGCTCTCCCTTTGGGAACAATGGAAACTAGCCCCAACACCTTTAACATCTAATCAAAGTACCTTTATTGGAAATGCTCCCAACTAGGGTGAACGACTTAAATGCAAGTACCTTTGTACTACCAGCTTGGCTATCATAGATTCATAATCACCACTCACAATCATGTGTAAGCCTCATACCTCAGAGAATAAAGCTAAAATGCAATTAGAATAGTTCTTGGCAACAAGATCATCAAATAAAAATTTGCAGGTTAGGGTGCAGAGAAAACATTAGGGGCCGTTTAATAATCATTTCGTTTTCAATTTTCGCTTTTTTGAAAACTGAATTGTTGTTTGGTAACTACTTTCAGTTTCAAGAAAATGAATATTGAAAACTACTTCCTTGAGTATTCAAAATTTGGCCTTGAGCTTTCACTTTTTGGTTTTCAGCATTCATTTTTTTGAAAACTGAAAGTAGTTGCCAAAAAAGTGAAAACTAAAAACTGAAATCTGAAAACTGAAAACGAAATGGTTATCAAACGGGCCCTTAGGGCATATTATAAGATAATGAAAACGGAATCCTTCTGTAGTTGGAATAAAGTCTAACCCATTCAAATATAATCTCCTCTTGAAAAGTCTTTCCGCTTACGCAGAAAGCAAACTTACCAAGAAAAGAAGAAAATAATTGTAATTTAAGGCCCCAACACAATGAACAACCCATACACAATGGTGATCCATTTTCAGTACACACCGCCCACCTGAAAGTTGAAATAATTTCATGCTCTGATATAAAGACAAAAGAATATAACAAAGCAAAACAAAATATCGCTAACTGATATTACGGGGAAAAAAAAAACACAGATATGGTGACTCACAAACTGAGCAATGATGGCAACGAGGTGGTTTCAGCTGGTTGCACTTCCGGCAATACCGGATCCTCTGATTAGAGGGGTCAGGCTGCAAACCATTAAAATCCGACCAAGTCAATGGGTCAGCCTCCCCTCTCTCTTCATCAACAGCAGGCCTCCAATTAGGTGGCACACCACCCGGATCCGTCAAAACAACAGAAAAATAACTCCATAACAGCATCACCAACTGCAACATTATAACAAGCTTTCCACTCTTAGCCTAATTTCCTCTAATACACTTAATCAGACACCATATCTTGACTGCTTTGAGCTAAACACAAATTAATATACACTCCAATTTACCCGGAAAGCTAAAAGAACTCTAGAAATTACTGCCAAAAGAAGCTCCAAGTAATTTCGAAGTTCTTGGAACATTTGAAAGAAAAAAATGGCAGATTTTGTAATTACAAAACCAAAAGCCACAGATTCTAAAACCCAGAACCTCTAACAGAAAACCCATCAACCCCACAAAGCAAATAAAAAAATAAAAAAATAAAAAGTTTAAAAAAACCCAAAATTTAATAGTTTTTGGAAGAACCCCTTACCAAGCAATGAAATATGATCAATACGCCAACGGCAATGAGAGAGTCAAGGCCGCCATCGTACAAAGCCGGGCCGTAATTGGTGAAAACGACAGTGTAATAGGTGACACCGACGACCCCAAGAACCAGGAGGATCATGACCGACCCCAGACCTCGCAAAACTATGCAGAACTTGAACACGTTCCAAGCCATGGCGACTCCCGATCTATGCATAATATTACTCAAAAATACCGAAAATTCATAAAGAAGGATTCTTTTTTCCCAGTTCGATCTCTCAGGGAGGTGGGTGTGATCTAGGGTTTATGATTCAGCTGATGGTTTGGAAGTACAATCTCACAAAAATGCAAAACAGAGTGGGAAACAGTAGTTTGAAAAACAGAGAAATATTTTCTCTACTTTTGTTTGCTATTTTTTTTGGATGTCTTAAAAGTTCTGGAAACGAAATTTTTGGAAGGAAAGGGTTCAAGCGTGAGATTCCAGGTGGGGCGTCAAATTGGAATCCTTGTTTTGGAGACGAGGTTTTTTCTTTATTCACAGCCCTTTGTCTAATGGGATCTGCCTTTTTGAATAAAAATGGGGATTAGTTATGGGATCATTTTATGTTGAATTTTAATGGTTTGAATTATTTGTTTGGTAACTTTCGATTTATAGATTTATCATTGTAAAATTTAATTTAAAACTATTTGCATATTTAATTATCATGATGAAATTTTATTATTTCTTATAAAATAATGTGTTCGTCAATTTCTTTTAACTCAATTAGGTGTCTCACATATTTCCGATTTGACTAATATTTTGTAAGAAAGATCTATGAGATCCAACTTAAAACATAGACGGTTTGGATCATTGAAATTTAATGTAGTGTGAGCTCCACAACTAATCCCTATTAAAAAAAAAAAAAAAATAGGGATCAATTTCCTTAATAACAGCTCTACTGTTGCTTATTGCCTTGGGGATAGGCAACTCAATCCACTCCCCACCACATAATCCCAAAACACTACAACCCACTCGGGCAATTGGGTTCAAAGCAAGCTCAATGGAGAAGTCAGACAATAATCACCTGGCCATATGACTCAAGGCTAACCACAATTTAAATTATTAAAAAATTAGAAAAATTATTTAAAAAATTATAAAAACTAATTAAAAATATAAAAAAATTATAATTTTTTTCTATAAATACCTAATCATGTTCCTCCATTTTACACTACATTTCAATATTTTTAATCAATTTTTTATTATTATCTGAAATTAAAAATAAAGTTATCTGTTACTATTTTATAAAATAAAAAATACTAATATTTTAATACGAATTGCTTGGGCTATTTAGCTTTGGGGTGGAGATGCACTTAGGCAGTTACTGCTTATTTAAGGGGATTGAGTTACCTATTACCCAGGAGGCCTTACTACACTGAAAGAGCTCTAAATGCCTCCTTTCTTTATATATAGTTATAGGGCTCTTATTTAAGTTTCTAGTTAATCTGTATCATTAGATCAAGATACTCTACAAGAACATCTCATTAAGGTAGGGGGAAGTCATTAGTGGGTTGGATCGTCGTGTGAAGCCGTAGTGAGGCGTAGGAAGTAAGTCTACCGACACATCACCTAAGGAACAGAGAAATAGATTAACTCTCTTCTAATCAGTGGCGGAGCTAGGAATTTAAAACAATGAGGTCAAAAGTTGAGCTTCCATTACTAATCACACAAAGCAAGCAATTCCGAATTCAAACACTGCCTTAATGTTTTGTTTGTCATTACCTTGAGGGTCATGGATGGCTCTTCTGAGAAAAGCATTGGATACAAATGAAGACCCTTGAAACAAAGAAAAGAGTGGCCGAAAAGGAAACAACAAGTAACTTTGATAGATTGAATAGGAAACAAATGAATTATCCAAAAACAAAAGTCTGATTTGGGAAATCACTGAGAAAATGCTGAAATGATTGAATTGGTTAAGATTAGATGTTTTTTTTATAGGCTAAAATTAAAATAGGGAAAATGTCGGAAAAGTGAATAAGAGTAGCAATAGATTAGTAGTCACCTAAAGTTGTTTCCTTTGGCAAAGCAAGATGAAAGGAAGAATAGTGACCCCAAACCAAACCAAAGGACAGTGTATATATATATGCAGTAAAGACAGAGTGCCGGTCGATTCGATGCCCTAGACAGGGCAGGCTGAAAACACGGGTCTAACGATTTGAAGACTGCCAAATGGTAAATTCATGGTGATGGGAAAATTTAGCAGGGGGAGAAGAGGCGATGATGGAGTGATGGCTAACAAATTGAGCAGCAGCTTATTTTCTTCTTCTTATTTGGGGTTATCGGCACCGAAAAGGCTCTAGGTGTTAAAGGAAAAGAAATCACTCAAGTTGTACAAAGTGGACAGCAGGAATGTAGCAGGTGGATGCACATTCTGGACAGTTTGGACAGTTGCATGTGGATACCACATCTTGGTCAGCAAGGGTTTGGACGTGGTGGATGCACATCATGGGCGTGGTAGCTGCATCATGGGCAGCAAAGATGCCTTTTGTTTTGATGATTACATGTGTGTTGTATGTATATGTATATGTATATAATAGCTACTTCCATTTGCAACATTGTGCACATCAATAAGGGCAATATGTTAGCCATTTGGCCACAAGGTTATTAGGGTCAAAGAATCTCATTGCCCCCACCTTGGCTCTGCTACTACTTCTAATGGCTGGTTTACTTAGATTCTTAAGTAAGAGAATTTAAGTCCCAACTTGTGATATTTCTTAGAAGGGAACATTTGAATTTAAGTCTGATTATTTAATAAAAACGGTTGAAAAAACCATTTCTATCACTAATGCTAGTGCAGACTTCCAACTACTCTCTTAACATCAAATAGATCAGCATATGCAAAAAGGTTATAACTATTTGCATATAAGTCTAATCCAGGTTGCCGTGAAACCATTAACTAGGACAGGGTTAAATACCTCAATTATACTCTATCTAAGAGACAAATGTCACAGAAACTTTGTTAATTCCATTTTGGGATTAGTAGAGTCTTCTTTAAGTAAGGGGCAAATTTACTTTAATTGTTACCCGAACTTCTCCGTGTCTTTATCCAATCTCGGAATCTTAAAGACCCTTACCTTAAGTGTGGATACCCAAGGATATTATATAGACCCTAGATCACAGAATATCACTATGATTTATCGATTTTCATATAGGGTTATAAATACCGTTGTACCTTGAGCCAAAGTTACGGATAGTAAAGGACAAACTATTTTGTTCCAAGCTAATTTAGGAAAAGTACATATGGTGGTACCGAAAATGATTAGATGGAATAAAGTTATTCTACTTGAAAAATGGAGATTGCATGATGCAATTTCTCCTCAACCTATCCAAAATCGACGTATTAACCAATATGATGATGGAGATGTAGAAATACATTTTAACAATGACAGGTTTACTTGGCTAACCTTAGGTCCTTGGATAAGTGTTGATTCCCTTAGGAAAAACCTTTTGCAAAACAAATTCCTTTAGGAAGTCAACACCTGAAACAAGCTCGTATAAGCAAGATCATGAAAGGACTACCCTAGAAGGCCTTAGAAAGACCCAAGAACAAGTGCATTACCCTTTATATAAGGTCGAAAATACTGGAGCCACAACTCCTTCTAGGAATTCTAGGAATCTACCCTTACAACCATAATTTAATGAAATGATGTTGAATCTAACATCTGTGTAATAACAAAATTTGAACCAAATAAGGACTTTATTGAGAAAGATTATCTCAGTGAAGGGAATACTCTAAAAAGAGAATGGCTAGAAAAGGCCTACGGCCCAGGGAAAAAAGCTTCCTTGAAGAAACTTCTCTATATTTTCATGATAGAAAAGGGGATTGATGCAAGATTTTTCCTTTGGTATGAATGGTGTGCCAAGAAGTACAATTTTCCTGAATACACTCAGGGGGCGTTTGTTGCGCCGGACTATCTTGGACGGAATTAGCTTCAAGGACTAAGCTGGACTGGCTTAGACTAGACTAAATTGGACTAACTTAGTGAAGCGTTTGGTGCAGTATTGGACTAAGAAGCTGGATAATAACAAATTCTAATATTATATTATTTAATATATAAATTATTAATATTTTATTATGATCGTATCTTTTTCTTCATTTTTTCCTACCATTTTCGTCCCACTCTTTTCCTCTTCTCTCATCGTCCCACCCTTTCCCTCTTTTTTTCCTCGTAGACCTCTCAATTCATGTCTCTTTCTCATTCCTGGTCAAACTCCTTATTAATTCCAATCTCTATTTCTCTGTCCTCCCTCCTTCTCTAGCAATGCGTTGTTCGAATGGAACCTCACGGCTCCAATATTCCCGACGAGTTTAAGGTTTCCCGATGTGTTTTCCAGCTAACCGTCGTTAAATTGGATGAAGTTAGCACCGCCAAAAAATTCATCACCATCCCTAGACCGAGATCTTAGCTTTGAATGCTCGAATCTGTCATGGATTTGAAGAAGCCCAAACAAGCTGAGACTTCCAGGCCATTTTCCGGCCACATTCGACCACATTTTGGCCTCGATTCAGGTAAAATCGTAATCTTGTCACTCCCAACTTCAATTTGGTATATTTTATATGAAAGTTGGTTGTGAAATGGATTTGAAAGAGAGTCGGAAAGTTAATGATTGATCTAGATGACCGGAGATGATGAGGAGTCTGTCGGGAGTGGTCATTGAGCATGACGATGACGAGAAAGAGAGGATAGTCTTAGCTAGTCCGATGGTTATTGGGGGGTCTCGCTAAGAACTCTTAGTGAAGGGTTTTGTCCATGCTAGTCCCCTTTAGTCTCATTAATGTTAGTCCCAGCATGGAACAAACACAATATTTGACTAATAGCTAGTCTAGTCCAGTCTAGTCCAACTTAGTGAAGGCAAACAAACGCCCCCTCAATGTATAAGCACTATAGAAAATCCATTTAAGACTTATACAATAAGAGAAGGAAAAGAAGAAAAAGCAATACATACACCAAAAAAATCTATCCATATCAATTCCAAAGGAACAATTGCCTCTCCTTATAGGGAAGTTCCTGATGAAGGGCTAGAAGCTTCTATAAAAAAAATAGAGTTCCTGTTGTGATACAACAGAACAATTATACTAATTTGTTTCTTCAATCTTTAGGACAACAAGCCTCTAGAATAGAAAATTCATTAAAGGCAAATGATTCTCTTAAATCTAGGATTTGGAACCTTAGAGAACCAGGAACATCGTCAAATTCTTCTGAAGGAAAGAAGAAGATGGATCAACCAATGTTTAAACCAACTCCCGAACTTAAAGATTACAAGCTAGGAAACGATGATAATTTTATTGATGCTTTGACAAAAAGGTTAAGCTCGATGAAATTATCAGAACCAAATGTCTCGGTCATTACTAAAACTCAAATTGCTGATTTGCAAGAGCAGTTTAACGAGTTAACCTTATACCCACAAATAAATAGGATAAGACAAGGAAATAAGGTTACAAGAACACCTATCCTGAAAAACTATTATCCTAGACCAACCCATGTAGATCAATTTGAAGATAACGATAGAAGTGAAAATATT